ATGCAATGGGTAGATCTTGCTTAGTTTTGATATGTATAAACCAGCTGTAAAAAAAGATGTCTTTAAGATAATCAGGAATGTTTGAATACGGACTGTGTATGAGACGAAATTAAGAGACTGCTGTTAACTCTGTTAGGTGCATTACTGTCATGGTGCTGGGGAAACTATGCAAAGAAAGCATGACATTATCACTCAGAAATTCATGCCAAGCATTTAGCTATGAAATGACATGACATCTGGGATTCACTTTAAAGCAATCCAGTAAGGAAAAAAAAACCAAGCAAACAAAATTGAGGGGAGGTGCTAATAGACAGGAGGTGATACTAGAAAAATGTTGATTATCTTTGAAGCTGAGTGACTGATACATGAAGGTTCACTGGAGTACTTGTTCTACCTTCTTTATGTTAAAAATTTTTCATAGAAAGAGGACTACAAAAATTGCCGTCTAAGAAAATGAAATCATTTCTGGGGGTGAGGAGCATCTAGAAAGTGCTTTTGAGAAATGAACACTTTTGGAAACCTACCATAGGCAGTTCATGCCAAGAAGCGGATTGCTATACCTTAGTCTAGAGCCCATCCCTTTTTTTGTGAGTGAGACAGAGATAAAATGCAAACATGTGATCACTGCAGAAGTGATGTCTTAGAAAAATGTAGTCAATTCTAATTCATAGATGTGGAAGTGGGGGAAAGATAATGAGAAACAGACAGCTGGCCCTCCATCACCAAAAATAATTTGAAAGTCAAGGTTTTCTCTGTGTTTTTTTCTCCTTTATTTCCTTCTGCCCTCCCCCAACCAATGACTCCTGAATGTTCTGACATCTGTAGACTGATTTTTAAAAATATATGTAAGTATATTCTTAGGTATGATCAACCCACAAATATTCCTTTGTCAGGGAGACGTAGCCAAATAGTCCATCCAAAACTGTAAATAAATAAATAAATAAATTATAAAGGATTATAGAAGTAACAGAGACAAAAAATATTAGTGATAATTGATTAATTCGTTTATTTATTGGTTCATGTATTAATTCACTCAAATAGGAGTGCTTATATGTTGCCAGCACTCAACTAAGCCCTGGGATGCTAATGGTGGACTACTAATAGAGTTTTCAATTTAATAATCTAGGGAACCTACAACGTGTAATAAATAACCTAGAGAACAAAGAGGGACAATGACAACTTTGTGCACACCTGAGAGAGAGTGTGTGTGTGTGTGTGTGTGTCTTTAATCACATACTGGGGAAAAAAACATATTCACAACACAACCTCGAAAAACAAATATTTTTAGCCTTGTCTCTTATATCTGGCCCTGTTAACTTTCTCACCAGTCAGGATCCGTTTTTACATGCTACCTTTCAATCAGACTAAGCTACTAGTCTATTTCCTAAATATGTCACCCACTGTGATATTTCCACATGTACTTCCCTGCCTGAACTAGTTTTTCTCCTCTCTACTCAAGAAGGTAAACTCCTCTTCATTCTTCAAAACCTGGAGTACACGTCACAACCTTTCAATCTTGTCATCATGCTCACCTATACAGACATCTATTGTAGCACTTAAGATGCGTTGTCATTTTTGTTTAAAGGCCTGACTGTCTTGCCAAACTCTGAAATTCTTGAAGACAGTCTGTGCCTTATGTATCTCCATAACATCAGTGCATAAGGCAGTGCCTGATTCATAGGAGGTGATCATTAAATTTATATTAAACAACCGAATGGATGAATGAATGAGTCACATCAAATGAGCCTCACTGATACAAAAGTTTTGTACCTTGAAAGTAATATATAATTGTTCTTTTAGCCAAAGTCATAGGGTTTCAAAGCTGGAAGAGTTCTTGGAGATCATCTGTTCCAAACCCATAATTTAACTTTGGAGCACATATTAGGATGGACTGGACTTTCCTGGTCAGTAAAGAATGAATTGTCTATTATGTTTTGATTCAGAGAGGAAAACAGGAGAGCCAGGACATATGATGGGGAGAGGCAAGGAGAAGCTAAAGCAAAATTAAACATTTACCAAGAGGCTTATCTGCCTAGGGGAAATGATCACACACTGTCCTAACGACCTCCCTGCTGCATACTACACACTCCTCCTTGTCTCCTGATTTGTTTTCCCTGCCCTTCTCTGTAAGATTTTCCATGGCGCTTATCAACTTCCAACATGCCATATCTTCTCTTTAGTGATCACGCCCACTTTTTATCTTCTGATTCCTGATTCAATGCTCCTTTCACTATATGCATTTATGTCTAACTGATTGATCACATTCATGGCAAGGGCTGAGTTTTGCAGGCTGTATAGCATGATGTTTTAAAGAAGCGCTTATCAAACCATCTCTACTGAAGGACTCATTTTTAAATTTCCAATTGCTCATGGACAGTGTCGTCCTACTGTGCATGACTCACATATGACCTACACCACATGTACCTCACCTTGTGGGTTTCACACACCAGAATGGACCTATACTGAGATGAGTCTAGTGGTCATCTTCTTGGATGCCAGGTTAATAGCAAATTGCTATAAAAGTTTCTAGTGCTTATTCTAAGCTTCTATATTATCCCATCACAAGTGCTAACAAATCATGGCTGCAGCACCAGTCCTCACGCCACACTCTGAGGATCAACTAATTTATAAGATGGACCTTGGAGTCCATTGGCCTGGGTTTGAATTCTAGCTCTATCTTTTCCTAGCAGTGTGGCTTTGAACTTGTTTTCTTAATATTCTGGCTCTCAGTTTCTTCTGCAAAATAGGAATACTTATAGTAGCCCCCCAGAGGGTTGTTATAAAGGTGACATGAGTTTATGTACGTGAATGGCAGAGAACACTGCCTGGCAGAGTCGGTAGTCAATACACTGTCAGATCTTATTATTACCACTTGACCTTTCTCAATCAGGAACACTCTCTCCATTATCACGGTTACTGAACTGCCCAGCCAAGTGTCACCCTGGGAGTGCAAGAGAAGGCAGCTGGCAGGGACACCTGAGGGATAGGAGCAGGGTGTGCCTATGCTGGGCCTGGGGCCATCCTTCCTTTTATTCCTTCTTTCTCCTCAAGCAGCAGTGGGGGTCATTTTGTGCCTCTAGCAGGAGAAACAGAAGAGAATATGTTGCCCTCCACTTGAATGGCTGAAAATGAAAAGAGATACTTTTCTTGGCTTAGAGCTTTCTGTTGACTCTCTCCATCTTTCAAGGAAGCTGAAGTGAAACAACGTGTCCTACAAGAGGCAAAAATGTGACTACAGTAAGAACATGAATCATTTTCCAGAGAGCTCGGAAGCCCAGCTTTCATCCTAACTTCATTGGCATTCCCTGTCTTGAGTCAGCACTTCTTTGGGGGGAAACTTTTTAAAGTCGTTAGTATAGTCCTAAGTAGGTGTTAATGCAGGCATGTTCTGGGGGATGGCATTCCTCCAACCTTGATAAAAATCTATTTGTTGAATAGGTTTGTATATATAAACCCAGCCCACTTCCTGAAGAGTATTTAATAAACACACTGCTTTGACACACTGAACATTTAGAACAGATAAAAGAGAACAGTCAAGTAATAAATGAGGAGGAAATACATTGTTTATTAAATTTGCTTGTTCACTTTGACTAATATTTGAGGGATGACTTGACAACAATTACACACACATACATATATGTAGATAGCAAACTCTTACATAGCACATACTGCTTTCTAGGCACTGTTCTATGGTTTTATGTTTTAACACATTCAGTTCTAAAAGCACAGAGATAATCTCTTTTCTGAGATGAAGAAACTGAGATGCAGATAGTTAAGTGATTCCCTAAGATCACTCAGGTACTAAGAGGCAGAACTGGGATTTGAACTCAGTCTCGTGCTAACACCCTTGTTTTTAACCACTGTGTTATACTAGATGGTTAGAGCTCCGCTTGCAGTGAGACCTATCAAAAGAAGTATCACTGTTTAATGGTCAAGTAAAAAGAAATCGACCATTTGGCGAGTGGGATGTGTGGCTCTGGGTGTGTTACTTCCTGTCTCTGAACTTCGTTTATCAATCTCATCAATGGAGGTGTTGGATGAGACAAGCCTTCAAGGGTCTTCTAGTTACCACGCACAAGGTTTGTCTGCTCTAATTAGCACCACAGCTCCCCTCTCCGCAACTCTGCTTCATATGCCCTGTCTCCTCTTCCTGGCCTCTCTTCCTGGTTGCCACCATTTGTTGCCCTACTTCACTGCAACAGGTTGGAAAAAATGCTCTGAGTTGTTTCTGCATGAATGACAGTAAATCCACCAGGTACAACCCTGGGACAGACCAACGATCATAAGGGTTTACAAACGGGACAAAAGCAAAAGACACAGACCTCTTCATTGTGCCAACCCTCCAGCTCTAGGATGGGCACGGTCCCCACCTCTCCTCGTAGAGGTCATAGTAAAGTCGAGGACCAGAGAGCAATGGAAAGATGGCTTAAGGCCAACCCTAGATTATAGTCCACCAAACAGCTGGGACTGTGTTTGACACACTGATCCATCCTCAGTGTTCAGCATAGAACCCACTATGTTCTAAGTGCTTTTGTTAAGCTACCTAGCAACACTGCATCCTATGTATAACTCCACTTTTACAAAGACTGTCACTATTTGTATGGAAATGGATACTTTATTTATTTTGTCAAATCAAACAGGTATCTTTTCATCCTTAGCCCACCAGACCTTTTTTTTTCTGCATTTCAATCCTGTCATTTTTTATTCTGTTCTCCATGTATGTCACAGGCCTTCTCCTTCTTGGTCTCCAATTCCCTTGTTCATTCTTTTATTATTGGTGTTTCACAATATTTCACTGACCTTATAGCATCAATGATGACCAATGTATATGACCCCTTCATATATATTGTTTTATATCTTTTCAATTATCTCACTTAATTCTTCCTTGGTTCTTGGCACCCTGATGAACACTGTTTACTTCCTCTTAACAATAGGAAGTATTGTCCCTATGCAACTGTCCCTCTGCAACAGTGAAAACTTCTTCTGTTTTTTCCTTCCTCCCTGCTGAAGCAGATCAGGGTTTCAATTCAATAAAAGTTTTTTTGTTTGTTTGTTTTTTGTTTTTTTTCTGAGCACCTAGTGATATCAGGAACTCAAACTAGGCACTAAAAAGCAAAGGAGAACAGACTATTCAATGACTGTAGCAGGTAGCAGTGACCAGAAGGGCAGGAGAAAGAAGATACCCAACAGATTTCATTCTTTCCCTTGGTTAACACAACACTCGGAGCATTTGCAGAAATAGATGTGACTCACATGGGGATTTATCACACAGCTGAGGGGAATCCACAATATGGTCTGCCTCAGTATAAACAACAGAAAAGAAAAAAACTTGGGATACTTTCACTGGCACAAATCAAAAAGAAACAGTTTGATTTATCCATGAAAATATTAGTATTGTCCTCCTTCACACTACCAATGGCTGACAGTGGAAAATGATGGATGCTGAAGGTAAGTACGGAAGATTTTTATCATGTAATTATCAGTAGGACTTAATTTTTTTAAGCCTTGCTTTAGAGTGGCTTACCTACGCTTCAATATTCGAAGCTCTGGTTTATTAAAAATATGAGTTAAATAATCTCTAAGAATTTCAAGCCCCTCGTTTAAGCCAGAGGTTTGGATTGGTGACGTTATTACACAAACTTAATTCAGTTTGTGCCTCCTTGGAAAATGAAGAGTGGATCTAATGGTATTGTATGGTGGTATTAAGTCATGCAGACACTCATTCACACTGAAGTAAGCCTTTAAAAAAAGAAATGGAAGTTTGGGGTGAGGATTACTTTTTGAAAGAATTACCCCAATTCTCCAGGGCTTAATCAAGTTGGCCCAGGATAGGTCTTTATTTTGCAAGTGAATTGATCTGCTGCAATGGAAATTCAACAATAAGAAAGAAATTTCTAAGATTTGGATTCCTCTAGGTTCAGTTTTATGAAAGATATTCTTTGTGAGGTGTTAATAAAGGGAAGAGAAACTGAAATTTTCTGATGCCTATGATGAACCAGGAATTATATGGATATAAGCTTATTTAATGCTTATAATTCTTTCACAAATGATGAAACAATGCTCAAAGTGATTATAAAACTTGCCCCAGGATCAGGTGTCAATAATATATGGAACCAGCCTTTGAATCCTAAGATTGTCAGGCAGTTTCATAATCACATACTATGTTCCCAGTACCCCATGTGATTGAGTTATATCTGTCTTTTATCTTATTAAAGTACTCAGCTAAATCAAAGCAATGGACACCTTGGGAAAATACGGATGGAAAGAAGAGGAGCTGAAAACATTCTACTCTTCTGCCTTCCCACCCAGCAAGGTATCAGCCTTGGAACTGATTTGTAATGCATTGCCTCAGCTTCTAAACCTGGGAAACTCAGCACCAACCCAAGCCCTGCTGAGCCTTCTCACTTCCCATCAGTCTTCTGCTGGCTGTTTCTCATCCTTCATGACTCCATCAAACCTTTACCACTCTCTGCAGCCATTTTATCAAAATCTTCTCAGCAGACCACCTTACCATGAAGACCAGCAGAAATAAAAAATTTTGGTGCTCTTCCTTGAAGATCTATATATCTATTCCCATTGGCTTCTTTTCTTTCTTCCTTTTTTCCCAGTCTTAGAATGCAAGATATCCCTCCTCACATTCATGACTGATTCTTCCATGTGTGCCTTGACCCTAACCCTCCTACCTTCAGCTCTGGGAAGCTGCTTTTTAGATGATTCCCTTTCTTAGATTTCCAACTTTTTCTTCCAGTTCTTCCAGTTGCTTCCTTCTACTGTACCTTTTTCCTTTCTCAAGGTTCAACCACCATAAAAATAGAACACTTGACACTGTGCTCTTGCTCACTTTCCAGTCTGTTACCTGCATCCCATTCAGTCTCCACTTGACCTCTATTTCATGATCTACCGATTTCAGTCTGACATTTGTCCACTCCATTTATTCTTGGTGCTGCTCTCTATAAAATGCCTAATGATTTTCTTTCTTTTTTTTTTTTTTTTTTTTATTTTCCTTTTTTTTTTTTTTTTTTTTTTTTTTTTTTGGCAAACCAAACAGGTATTTTTTCGTCCTTCGCCCACCAGACCTTTCTTTTTTCTGCATTTTAATCACTGTGATTTTTGATTCTGTTCTCCATGTGTGTCATAGACCTTCTCCTTCTTGGTCTCACATTATCTTGTTCACTCTTTTATTACTGGTGTTTCACAATATTTCACCGGGCTTATAGCATCCATAATGGCCTGTAGGTGGGTCACTTTCTTGTCAAGTTCTAGATTGCATGACCTGTGGTACATCTTCATCTAGATGTCCTTCAGTCACTCAAACTTAAGTCATCTAAACCGGAACACAGCAACCTACCCTCTGGTATTCTCTTTTTCGATTCGCATTAACACCACTAACCTGGACTGCCAAGCTTTTAGCCTGATAGTCCATCCAGTTGTTCTTATCTTCTTCCCATTACCTTCCCAAATCCAATAATCAGATCCAAAATTTTACTTCATAAATATTTCTTGAATATCTTCCTTCCTCTCTGTCCACATACACCTCAACTATGGAATTCTTACTCTTGCATAAACGATTTGTCTCCCAGTTTTCAGGTTCTCCCTCTTCAAATTAATTATTCCTGTAGATACCAGTGTGATTCATTACAATAAAAACCTGGCTTTTTTATTCCATGATTCTTCTTTTATTCTTTTTTTCTACTTTTTTATCGAAGTAAAATACATGTATCAAAATTGGCCCTTGTAACCTTTTTTAAGTGTACTATTTAGTGATAGTCAATGCATTCATAATATTGTGTAAGTCATCACCATTCAGCTCCATATTTTTCTTTCATCTTATAAAATAAAAATTGTGTGCCCAATTTAAATAAAAACACCCCATTTCTTCTTCCCCTCAACTCCTGACAACCAACATTCTACTTTCTGTCTCTAGGAATTTGACTACTCTAGGCATTTCATATAACTGAAATCATACAGTATCTGTCGTTTTGTGTCTGGCTTATTTCATGTAGTAACGTCTTCTAGGTTCATCCATGTTGTAGCATATGTCAGAATTTACTTCCTTTTTAACACAAAATAATATTCCATTGTACGTATAGCACATTTTGGTTATCCATTTCTCCATTGGCAGAGACTTGGGTTGCTTTCACCTTTAGGCTGTTGGGAATAATGCTTCTATGAACACAGGTGTGTTTAAAATATTTTTGGTATATACTCAGAACCAATTGCTGGATCATTTGGTAATTATTTTTATTTTTTTAGAAACTGCCATATTGTTTTCCATAGTGGCTGTGCCATTTTACATTCCCAACAGTGCACAAGATCCAGTTTTTCCACACCCTTGCCAACACTTGGTATTTTCTAAATTTTTTTTATAGTAGCCATCCTAATGGGTGTGATTAATTTTATTTTTAGAGGACGAACTTTAAGCATCTTTCAGGGCATAAAACATATTACACAATAAGTGGAATCGGCTCCTTTCAAAGGTTCTTAATTGTGCCTAGAGATTTGTAATAAGTGACTTGAAACTTGAAAACTGTTTAGAATAGTGGTTGGTGCACAGTAAACTTCCAATTGTTAGTTTCTTTGAGGATGATGTGAAGAGAATGAGGAGGATGAAGAGGATGAGGACAATGACAGCATAGCACCTCTGCCACCACCTCATATTCATTTTTGCCATTCTCTCTCAAGCTACTCTAAATGGCCTATACTTTTCTCAAAAAATAATGCTAATATTTTGCTTTGTTCTTTTTTTACCCACGAAGTCCTTAGGGCCTGATATGTCCTGATACCCACACCTATTTCCTTCTGGCTAAATCACCCTCCTTTATTTCTCTTTCAGATGTAATCTTTTCCTTGAAACCTTCCTCAAACACTCTGTGAAGGTAAGGTACTTTCTCAATATTCTCTTTGCCCTCTGTGAATGTCACGTATTGCGATGGACTATTTAGTTACATTTCTCTTCCCTCTGGGTGTGAGCTTGAGGGCTGAGATGCTCTTGTTCAGTGATTCGCCCAGGCCCGAGCATAGTGCTTGGCACAGGTAGGTACACAACATAATCAGTTAAACAAATAGATGAATGGCAGAACGAAAAACCCAAGGAAGAGAGTACAGACTGGAAAAGTGACAGAACACTGAAAATAAGAGGCAGACATCTGCCTTGGGACATCCTTCAGGTGTGCAAAGACTTAGCTTTGTGACTTGAATCATGCCAGCACTTCCCGGTTGTTTGACTTTGCTGTTAGCTTCAAGGACATGCTTTATTGAAACCTGCTTTATGTAAGCTTCATTTTTTAGTTTGCATTTTCCACTTACTAGGAATCAACTATTTTTAAGAGGATACATTCTCGATTGTCTTTAGTCACAAACACCTAAATATAAATAAGAATTAAAGGAATAGAGTGTTGGTTTAGGTGAATGTAAGGTCAGATATAGGGAGATTTGTAATCATCTGGGGAGGCGTGGAGGGGAAGGGGATATCTCCAACAGGATAAACTGCTTCCCTCCAATTTATGGCCAGTGAGAAACGGTCTTCCTCATAATCTTGCTAAAGATTGGCCTTGACGGTGCCTCTGCCCTAAATTACCCTCAAATTGAAGGGAGATAGCAAATCTCTAGGCATGATTAAGAACCTTTTACAAGGAGTAAAGTTCACAAAAAAAACAAAACAGTTTGAACAAAACCATAAACAGTTATGGTCAAGATTGTTAATCAGCGCCTTGGCCGAGGATGGAAAGTGTGATATTTGTGCACATGCTAATCAAACTGTGCCAAGAGTTAGGCTCACAGAAGACTTATCCTTTTGAAAAGTCAAATACGAGCCCTTATTGGTTATCGCCACAACCACAAAGACTTCTAAGCCAAGTACTATTGATCCAAGTAAAAGAGATAAACCCTGAAGGTCACAGTGTGCCTGGTCTTTTGCTTGGGGCAACTTCCACTCTCCAATTGCACATTTCACAGCATCATAAAAACGAACTATGCGATGGCCCACATGACCACAGTTGCCACTGACATGGCCAATAATACCCACACCCCTCACTGGAGACTAGTGGCCCCAACCCCCAAGCCCAAGCTTTAGCTTTTATCCAGAATTGGCAAATGTGCTCAGAGAAGAAAGTGATAGAATTTCAGTTCACCTTAGAAGGACTTTTCTATAGTTCTAGGTCATTTGGTCCTCTTCGTCTCTACCGCTTGCCAGTTTTCTTTTTAATTATGACCTTTTTGTAATTTATTATTTTTATTTTTTCCAGTCATCTTAGTAGAAGCAATGCATATTGCTACTGCCTTCCCAGAAATTAAAGTTCTTGTTATTATTGAAATTAAATACCTGAGATACAGGGGCATATATCAGGGTTTAAGAGGGCAGGGCTGGAATTGGGCTGCCTTTTTGCGTTGCTGTTGGGTCTTAGGCAAGTGGTTTAATCACTGGGCCTCTTTATGTTCTCTTATAAAATGGGAATAATGATGGAAGCTGTTTTGTGGGTTGTTGGGAGGATCTGCTAACATAATGAATGTAAAATATTTCACATAATACCTTGTACATAATAAACGATCAAAAATGTTAACTAGTATTATATAGTGTTGATTACGTTAGTTAGGAATCCAGGCAACACTGGTTTTGAATCAGATACTGCTTAATACCAGTTAGGATGGTGTGAATTTGAATGACTTATTTAACCTCTTTATGGGTTTACCATCTCATTGTGAAACACTGGATTAGTAATAACATCTCCTAAGGGCTTATTTTCTAATTTTGTAGTGGCTCAGGCTTGAATCATGGGGCTTGAGATCTGGGAGCATCACTGAGATCACAGTGGTTTCAAATGCTGGTCTGTAAAACAGTGTCGTTCATGACCAAGATGCATATCATGGATCTGAAGCTGAGCTGAAGTCTCAGATAAATTTGTAACTTAATTGAACAAATAGCATCCAGGGCATTGTTCTCATTCCTATCACATGAAAATAGATTTGCAACAATGGCACGTCAGATCAAGTTGCATATTCTAATTCTACTTCATGTGGTAGTGCTTACAGAGATGCCCAATTTTCAAATAAGTCTAAAAAATTATGTGCTCCTTAATATTATCATCTGTCAATGCATGTTGGGATTTTTCTACATCTTCAAGTATTTGTGTTTGTTCTACCAACTGTTGTTCTTCCTTGGATTGAACTGCCTTTTGTGAGATTGTCTTTTCAACGACTTTTTTAAATTAAGAAGCTCTTCCTTCATGAAATGATGCAGACAGAGTTTGTGTGTGTGTTTTTTTAATGATTTATTTAGCTAAAACAAAATCTTGGAAAACTTATAAAAGTCTCTTAGTTAAAAAGCAAACAAAACATTTTACTCATTTACAGAATTTGAAAATCTAAGAACCACTCACTTGTATATATCATAAATCTGGGCTTCTCCCAGAAGTTTATGTCTCAACTTTGGATATGTTGTAATACTTGCCATGTATGTACACATCATGGATTTCAATTTTTCATTATACTTCACTGCATTTTGTGAAAGAAATTGCATGACAGTGGTAGTCAAAATTTCAGGAATTCTCAAAAATCATGGACTTATTAATCTTGAGTTCCAAGGATCTATTTTTCAAATACGTTGAATGTGCTTACTTTACACCCTAAGTCCTAGAAGGTCCCAGTATGAATGTGCTCATTAGTTGAGCACATTCAGCCTTTCCTGGCATTCAATTGAATGCAGTATATGTGTACATATATATCTCAGATATTAAATTATTGACATTTTTATATCTCTTATTACAAATGGGAGAAACTGAGGCACAGGGGGTTAAATGGCTTGTCTGAAATTTCAATCAATGTTGGGTTCTAAAAAAAACCCCACCAGTTTGATGAATTATTAATATTTTCCTGGCAAATAGGCAGTCACCTTTCTGTTCGCCATGCAGGTCAAATGTAAGAGAAGGAAATAAATCTCTTCCCTTTCCCTGCATGCTTCTCCTGGGCTCCAGAAACTATGCTACAAAATTTCCTTGTTCCTTATGGACTCCTAAATCCAAACCAGGTCCCTGCTTCATCTCCAGTCCTGGAGGAGCCCTGCCACCCTCCTACGTAGCTGAAGGCTGCCAATCAAACGTCTGGATTCGAGCACCTAGTTCTTACTGACGGTTCCAGGAGATGCACAGAAGATGTTTTGTCTGACTTGCCCTGCACCTCAATGGTCTTCTGTTTTTTTCTCTCATCAGCACAGACTGTTCATCTAGTTTGCACATACTTTGTGGTTTTTCTTCTGTGGAACTTGAAGCCACAGTAATAAAGTAAGTTTTGAAGGAAGGGGTGGATTGAATATGACTCTTTCAATGAAGCTCAGAAGCACAGCACTTACTTGTCTCTTGATGTTGACAGCCACATTTTTCTGGAAGGACTCTCTGGCTTGCATGTGTTTTATTTATGTGGGCCTCACACGATGACATAGTTCTAATCACTGGAAGTCGACTACCACATCCTACGTCCTAGAGGGTCCCGTTTTCAGCACCATGTGAATGTAGCATTGTCAACTTTCAAATAGTAGTGTCAACATTTATTTGGTGCAATTCCTTGTCCTTAAGATAGTAAATGATTATCTGAATGGGATTACTGAACCCATTTGGTAATGAGCCAACTGAGGCTGAACAAGATGAAGTTTTCCCACAAGATCCAAGTAAATGGTGGGGGAAAAGGAGGTGCGTCTTTCTTATATTTAAATACCTTTAGCAATTAACTCTTACTCAGACAAAATCTGATGTGGAAACCCATTGATTATACCTATTAAAGCCATTGGCATGACCCTATTTTGGAAGTTCTAATTTATTATACTTATTTTACTATAAATAAATAAAAAGATTCTTGAGGCTGTTTTGGTGAAATAAATATGTGAAGCTGCAGATCTGAGATAATGATTATTTCATATTAGTCAGCTCTCAATTTGCTTTTGGGTGTTTTTTTCTTGTTTTGAATTAGAAGTATCGAGTAAGTGTCTACTCACATGGGAGCATAAATGTAAAAGTTACAGTTAGGTAAGGACTTGCCTTACAATCGCTATGCATTCTTCTGTTAAATTGACTAAGAGCTTCAAAGAGTGTTGGATCATTTTTATTCAAAGTTGAACCAGTAACAATATCTAGCTATGGGCCATATTTCTTTTTATAAATACATCAGCTAGAAGATTCAAAATCTACAAGGACTAAAATAAAAAGATGATATTCTGGTGTTCCATGTAATGTATATAGTTTTTATTGGACCACCTACACCGCACTGTGATGAAAATATGCACTGGGCACATTCAGCCTTTCCTGGCATTTAATTGAATGCAGTATATGTGTGTATTAGTGGTATAAACACTTATTTGTGCAATTTCATGCAAGCAGATGTGTATAAGCCTGAATTCCAAGAAGAAAGAATGCCAACTGAGAAACTTTCCAAATAACAATGTATTTCTATCAATTTTAACCATCTGCACAGAGATAGGGAGAGAAGGTTTATTCTAAGTTCTGCTCAAAAACTGGTTACTTTAGCCCAAGATAACACACCAGAGAGTCTCTGAGATTTTAAAATTTAAGTAACGTGTGAGTGTGCATGTTATTATAGGTTTTAAAAAGTTGCATATATAATTGATCATTAAGTCAAATATTGTGAAACTTCCACCACACCTCCAGAGAATTTGTTCCTGTTGTCTCTACCTCCCTTCTTATTTTGACTGTTGTTTGCTTCCCCTTTCCCATCTTCTATAATGGTGTCCTCTCTGTATCCTCACTGTAGCAAACCCTTTATCTCACCCAAAGGCTTTTGCATTTGTTGCTTTCTCCAACTGACTATGTCTTTCTTAATCTTTAGCTCTCCGCTCAAATATTATTTCTTCAGTGGAGGAAGCCTTTCCATGAATAAATTACTCCTTCCAAAGCAGCTTTTCCTCCTCCAGCCACTGCCCATCACATCACCCTACTATATCCTAAGACTCACCCCTCAACTTGTTTTTTTTTTTACTTATTTATTGCTTGCCTTTCCCCACCTTCTAGAACACCCTGCAAGGATAGAGACACTGCTAATTGATTATATACCTCATTTACCAGTCCTGGTAAATTACTAGTCCTGGTAATTGCACACATCTATTGTTCTAATTATCACTCTTTTTATTCTTAAAAATGTCCCATTTTGGACAATAAATTTTTTGCTGGAATTAATGAATGCATATGAACCTCATGATTCTTTGAGAAGGAGTTAACCAACTGTTTGTATACAGAATATGTCCTGGATTGAAAGTTGTAAATCCTTTGTTTCAGTTCTAAATCCAGTCATTTAGTACGTATAATATCCCTAGATGACAGCAAGGCAGGTACCAGCTTTAACAGGCAACATCCCCAAATAATCCTCATTGGCATGTATGCCATTGCATCACACTGATAACAGAATACTTTCAGACAAAATGATTCTGTCTCTAGAGAATTGCAAAGAAGTTCAAAGTTAATTAATGGTCTAAAGTTTTCATTGGCATGGGGGCAGATTTTGTCTTACAATAAGAAAAATTGTGAGAACCAGGCAAACCTTTTGAGGGAGTGAGCACCTGTTTCTGGAAATGCACAACCAATTCCCCAGGGAAGTGCAGTCCCATGGAAAGAGTGCTGGATTGTCAAATCTGATCTTAACTTATCAGTTAATACCTGGGATATGCAATCTCTCTGGGACAAAGTCTTTTCATGTGTAAAATTTAGAATACAATTTTAATCCTTTCTCATATTTCTTAAGTTTGCTGTTAATTGTGCAAATGTTGATAAATTATTTTATTGTAAAGTGTAAGTGATAAAACCATCTGTTGCCATATCAATAAGAAGAAAGCCCAACATAATATAATTCATCCCGAATGGTTGTCTGGATTTCAAATTCAGTGATTAAAAGGTTAGATGAACTATATGAAGAGCTGAGCTGAATCCTTCAGAGGCACCTGACGACAGAGGCCAGTTTGTTTCTGCTTCTTGGTGTCTTAGTTTTGGACTTTATAAAATGAGTGTAATAATAGTGTTTTGCTTCTGACCTAAGATCAAAAAAGGATCCCATATGTGAATGTTGCTTGCAGGTGAGAAAGCACTATATAAATGTAAGAGCCTTGAGGTGTTGCACAAAATTGAGGCAGGGGCTCTTACAGGTCTGGGTGGGAGCCTTGTGACAGGTATTCAGGGTTGAATGAATTTTCATTTCTCCAATAAAATAATCTTGGAGGCATGGTTGTTCATATGCATCTAGGAGTTTTGAAAGATAAGGATGTATGAATAAGCATATGTGTGGATGGTGACAATAAAGTCAGAGTGGAAATAAAAGTGATATTTTTAGCATTTACTTGATCCTAGATTGCTTTATATAGGTGATTTCATTTAACTTTACTACATACAAAGCCAATAGAAGTAGTGTGACTATTCGTCTTTACATATTAAGGACTAAGTTTCAGAGAGGTTAAGTAACTTGCCCTAGATGTTGTTAGAGCCAGGCCTGCTGTAGTCCCTGAGATGCAGAAAGAAAATTAGAAATTAGAAGTGTGTGAATTCTGGATCCACAGGGTTTACCTTATTTGTTGGTAGTCAAGCTGGAAGGGTGGTCTGCCCTTCCTCCAACTCAACATTAAAAACACCAGCAACCCCCACCCTGCCTTTCTTTGTACTTTAAGACGTTAAAACTTTCTCACTTCCTGCCACACGACCTCTCAACCTCAGGCCCATTTCCATGGATAACTAGGAAGCACAAGAAATTATGTCTGTTCATCTGTATCTTTGCCTTGCATGCCCTTCACAAGGATTGTTTGCTCTTTTGTTTGTTTGTTTTGTTTTGTTTTTTTGAGACGGAGTCTTGCTCTGTCGCCAGGCTAGAGCACAGTGATGCAGTCTGGGCTCACTGCAACCTCCGCCTTCTGGGTTCAAGCGATTCTTCCACCTCAGCCTCCTGAGGAGCTGGGACTACAGGCTTGTGCCAAATACCCAGCTAATTTTTGTATTTTAGTAGAGACGGGGTTTCACCATGTTGGCCAGAATGGTCTCGATCTCTTGACCTCGTGATCCACCTGCCTCGGCTTCCCAAAGTGCTGGGATTACAGGCGTGAGCCACCGCGCCCAGCCTTGTTTGCTTCTTTAGTGGTGAAAGTAACTTTGACCTAAGTTCCAGGCAACAGTCTTAGCAATCTTGGGACTCAAATCAGCTATCTGTGGTTTTTCTTAGGCATAGACTGTAGGTGGAAGAACCAGAATTCTTACCATTTCCATCTAATTCTACCCCCCATATTCTCATTCAGCTCCCTTAGAGTGATGTGCAAAAGGATAGGTTCTACTTTGTAGATAATCATTTTTCTAAATTATAAAACAATAGTTATGGGGCTTCCATTTGTTTAAAATTCATTTAAAACTGTAAGAATTCACATAATGTTAGTAGTCAGAGTGTTTGGAGGCCTACTTCCAAAGAAGAATCGAGCCTGAGTTAAATACACATGATTACTGCTCTTTAAATATTGTCTCTTGTTGGCAAAGGGGATGGAATTGATGACTGACTAGCTCCTTTATCATCAAGGTCTGTTACTTTTTTCACAGTGACCTCAGAGTAGCCACAGCACTTATGATCTTTTTCATATGGGCTCCCTGCCCAGAAACACAGGGGAATGAATCTTTCCCTAAAATGAATAATACTGATGACTTTCAAGCACCTCACTGCCTCCTAGAACAGTTAAAACTTTTTATTGTTAGTAATAATGATACCTTTTAAGTGCATCTATGTTTCACTGATTCTTTGCCACTGGAGAGCCTCACCAACAGCTTGTTTCTTTACGTGGTGTTGCCAAGAGTAGAAAAAAGTGATTTTCAAAGTGCTTCTGGAATTATCACTGGCAGAGAAGTGGAAAGAGTCATTTCAGGATGAGATAGACCTAGGATTCAAGCTCAGTTTTAAATTTCCAGCTATGGGTCCATGGGCCCATATTCTTAAGTGTTCAGTATTTCAGTGGCCTCATGTATAAGATGCAAGTCATGGGTCATGGTATTTACTTCTGTGGGTGAGGAGAGCAGCATCATGCAGCCTAGCTTGTGAGTGTTCAGTAAACCTCGCCTCCATTCCTTCACATTTCCAAAGGCATCTTAATGAGCTGTGGCACATTTTTCTGTATTATTAGTTGTTACGGTGATCAGATAAAAAATCTGTTAATGAAATAAAATCTATTTATTTAAAATACATCTAATTTGTAAATATACATTTTCTTTTATTGGACAATAATAAGCCCTCATTTCTAAAACTACACAGACACATATATGGTAAAATTGGATCCCTCCTTACCTACCCTAATGTCTAAGTTCCACTCCTTTGAAGTATATACAAATAGAAGTCACATGTTCAGCTTTCTAGAAAATAGCAATGTATAAATGTGCATAAATCTACCTATATCTTTTTAAATAAATGCACTCATTTAATATAGCTGCTCTTTATTTTTTGCTTAATTTATCTACATAGGTTATTTATTTTCTCTAAACTTATACTAATTTACTTCTTTCCTCTTTATATTAGTATTAATGGTAAATTTATAGTACTTCTTTCTTATAAATAGGTAAATCATATTATACAGCATAGAATATTATGACATGTTAATATTATTGTATTAGTCTATTCTCACACTGCTAATAAAGCCATACCTGAGACTGGGTGATTTATAGAGGAAAGAGATTTAATTGACTCACAGTTCTTCAGGGTTGGGGAGGCCTCAGGAAACTTATAATCATGGTGGAAGGGGAAGCAAACACATCCTTCTTCACATGACAGCAGCAAGGAGGAGTGCTGAGCAAAAGGAGGACAGCCTTTATAAAACCATTAGATCTTCAACCTCTGAACCACACTTGCAGCCCAACCCTCGACCCACACATCTGCAGCCCTGACCTCTGACCCCTGATCCACTCTTGCAGCCCGAGGCCCCTCAGCCCTCCCTGGCCTGGCCTAGGACACAGAGGCCTGGCCCCCGTTTCCTGCCTGGGCGTGAGAACTCACTCACTATCACAAGAATAGCATGAAAGTAATTACCCGTGTGATTGAATTACCTCCCACCAGGTCCCTTCCACAACACATGGGGATTATGGGAACTACAATTCAAGATGAGATTTGGGTTGGGACACAGCCAAACCATATCAATTATTAGTTGATAATTGATTTGAATATATAATAATATTATTTATTGAATAGCATATCATTGATCTTTAGCATTCATTAGCAGTAATGTTTAACATTTGTTTTTGAGGTAAATATGCTGGTTTTGGAGACAGACAAATCTTGGTTCAAATTTGGGATCTGCTGCTAGCAAAATGAAGTTGGACTTGTTTCCCCATTTATTTGATCACGGCAAGTCTAGTTGCCTCAAAGCATCATAAGAATTACATTAGGTAATACTAAAGAGGACTGCAATAGATTAAATTTCTGTGCCCTCCTCAAATTTATACATCAAAATCTAATCCCCAGTGTGATGGTATTTGGTGTTGGGGCTTTTGTGAAGTGATGAAGTTATGAGGGTGAAGCTCTCATGAATGGGATTAGTGCCCTTATGAAAGAAAACTCAGAGAGCTCCCTGCTCCTTCTGTTATATGAGGGCATGGAGAGAAGACAGCTGTCTGTGAACCAGGAATCATGTCCATTCCTATAGACGTGGAATCTGCTGGTGACTTGATCTTGGACTTCCAGACTCCAGGGCTGTAAAAAATAAATTTCAATTGTTTAGAAGTCACGTAGTCCATAGTATACTGTTCTAGCAGCCCCAAAGAACTAAAGAGAGAAACCAGCAGATAAGCAACTTCTAGAAATTTTCTAATGAATGCTGATAATAATAATTATTACAACATCATTACTTCTAGTTGAAGGACAGTCCTTCTTAGTTGGTGACTCTGAGGAACACAGCAGGTAGCACTTATTTCTGCAGGATATGTGATTGTCACTGTTGCTGGCTTTGGTGGTCTGTGTGAGCAGGCTGGGTAAATGAACCACAGGTCCTGACCCCTCTAAAAAAATCTGCAGAGAGACCCACTTTGAGATCGTACATCACACTGTCATTCTCAGTGGGAGAACTGTCTTTCTTTCTAGGAGCATGTGAGCTCCTGAGGGTAAGGAGGATAATTTTTTTCATATCTTTAGCACCTGGCAGTGGATGAGAAATACTGCTGTAGAGCTGTGGTCTTGACGGTGCCGGGGGTAGAGGAAGAAGAAATATTAATAGAAGGTAATATTTGCTGAAAACTTGCTCTCTGTTTAGGGATTTAATTAAATGATTTAATATCCACATTGTGAGACAGCTAGCACAGTTTTCAGCATATTATCTAAGTGTTGTTTCTGTTTCTGATTATGTAAAATTAGGAGAAATGCAGAACTATCTCAGAGCATGGGCATGAGGTTTTAATAAGAAAATACATGCAAAGTGCTTAGAACAAGCTTAGCACATGGTGCGCATTCAGGAGAAAACTGAGGCTCAGCAAGCCTTAGAGGCTGCTACAAGGAAAACTCCTGTGTACATGGTATAGAAGCAGCACTCTGTCTTCAGAGGCTCTGTTCTTCATCACTGAGCCTCATGGCTTCTACAGATTTACAGCTTCTATAGGTTTTTAGTAAATATGAGTTGAATGGATCACTGTCAAGCCTTGCTTTTGCAGAGAAAGAAAATTAGATTTAGGAAAGACAAAAGGCATATGTGCTACTGGGAAACTGCAGATTCGGGGTGCATTCCACTATGATAAGCAGTGTACCTCCTGGGCCCTGACTTACGTAACCTCCTACACCTTGTACTTTCCACTTTTAACAGACAAATGGGAGACAGGAGAGCATAGGAATGAGTTCGTATTCTAACACTTACGCTGTGTGGCCTTGAACTAGTCAATTACCCTGTTTATTCTTCAGTTTCCTAATCTGTAAAATTAAGAACTTTTTTTAAAATTTCTAAACTTCTTACCAGT